TATTTTGTGACAATAAATCAGCAGTGTTGTATTCCAATAACAACAGGAGCTCGACAAAGTCAAAACACATAGAGATCAAGTTCCTTGCTGTTAAGGAAAGAGTTCAGAGTGGATAGGTGTCAATAGAGCATATTGGGACAAACTCCATAGTTGCGGATCCGCTTACTAAGGGATTGCTACCCAAGGTCTTTCATGAGCACACTGCTCATATGGGTGTAATGTCTCTTGAGGATATCTAGTTTCAGTGAAAGTTTGCATTTTTGCTTTTCATATTGGACACATGTACTGTTATTTTGGATACGGTTTAAAGTTAAAGTTATTTTCAATTATAAAGTTATTTGGTTAATTATCTCTGAACTTATTTAAAATGATCTCATTAAGGTATTAAGGTGGACCAGTTGGAAATAGGCATGTTACAGATCACATTACATGTAATTTCCATGCTTAATCCATGTCATTCGGTTATATTGATATACGTGACCATTGATGGGTTTAGCTACGTGAAAGTAGCGAAAGCTGCTTTGATCCTATGTTGATATAATTGATGGACGGGATTGTTTGGGGATACATTCGGTAATGATAGCGAAATTCTGAGTACTCATAAGGTTATGTTTAATGCACAATTATAAAGTGACACATATAGCTCAAGTGAGAGATTGTAAGGATTTTTAATTAAAGATGGGTTTGTATGTGTGAATAATTGTGTGTTAAATTATAGGCTATCGAATTCGGTTGAGCCCGATTTAAGTGATCTAATAAGGTTTCGATTTTGAGCCTTAATGTATCCAATTAAAGTATGGATTTACATATGTGTAGAAACCGGGCTCAAGTCCTAATTCTATGATGGGTCGAATTAGGTCAAAGGGCATCCCTATATAAATAGGTTATGGTCCCCAGATCACACGCAACGAAACGAATTATTCATTCTCTACTGCATCCCATCACAGAGAGGAAAAGGAGACTGCGTGTAGATTTGGAAGATCATACCGCTAAATTCATATTGCATTAACCATGTTTGATTCAGGTATACTTCCGCTTTAATTCTTATATTTCTTGATGATTTAACATGAAAGATCCGGTAACTTAAAGTATTAAATTTATCCAACAGCATCACCCCTGAAGTTTTTGAAAAATGGGTCAAAGGAGACTTCAAAGAGCCAGTTTGGTTCAAGGCTGGAGCTCCAATTTTTTCTGAAGGTGGACTCAACTATTTGGGCAACCCTAATCTTGTTCACGCTCAAAGCATTCTGGCAGTGCTTGGCTTCCAAGTTGTTCAAATGGGACTTGTTGAAGGATTTAGAATCAATGGTCTTCCTGGAGAGTTTGAGAAGGCAACAACCTCTACCCCGGTGGTCAATACTTGGATCATCTTGGTCTAGCTGATGACCCAGTCACCTTTGTGAGCTCAAAGTGAAGGAAATCAAGAATGTAAGATTGGCTGTGTTCTCCATGTTTGGATTCTTCGTACAAGCTATCGTCACTGGAAAATACCCTCTCGAGAACCTATTGGACCACCTCAACAAACTTGTGGCTAACATTGCATGGGTCTATGCCACCAAGTTTGTGTCAGGATCATAAATTGAGATTCATTCGCTCAATGTAATGTGCTGTGAATGCCTGAATTATGTAGTTATAATACCTCTATAAACTATTGATTTCTCAAGTCAATGAACAAAAGGATGGTTGTAAAAGTACATTATTTTCAGTAATTCAACCTGTTAATGATTTAGCTAAGAAATCCATAACAAACATCTTCAATTTGCTAAAGCCGCGACATATTACATTGTGCAGGCTCAACCTTTTTATGCTCAATTTTGATGAAGAATATGTAGCCCACCTCACGATGATGTAATAACAAGTCAACCAATACGACCAACAGGCAAAAGAAAACTTAGAAGCAGCAAGAAGATCAACTGATTGGATAGTATTCGGGCATTTACTGTGGTCGAGTTTATTTAAATAATGTAGTTACTAGCATAAGCTACAAAGAGGATTAAACGTTTTCAAGAAGACTGATAAACAGCAAATTAAAGCTGCTTGCTGTTTCATTTGTCAGAGAAATTGAACACCTCTTACCTGTTTTTCAGCACTGACTAATACAGATGAGAGTTCTGAAACTAAATTCTCAACAATGCACTATACACGAATAGGCTAAAACTAATTGGAATCTCAAAAATAATCAGCAATTTTGCTGAAACCCCATGGAGAAATAATTCGGTGCTAGTAACTTGCGCTCTTCTTTCCCTACCATGTTCTTCGATGTTTTTAAGCTTCAGAGTGCCCTAGCCTATGAACTTATTCCTTTGCTGCCCCTAACCGAACTTTATAGTCTTTTATCCACTCCTCAAATCTATGTTTTAGTTTCCTTAATTCTTCACCAGTATTAAGGGAATGTGACTGCCCTGACTTGGAATGCACGTGTTAAGTGCACAAAATCGAAGCACACTCAAGCAAAGACGGGAAGGCTTAAGTCAATAAAACGACGATAAAATATACTAAGTTTAAGAGTGACACAAATGGAGAAGAAAAATGAGATCTGGATTTCTTATTTGTAGAGTGAGATTACTAATTTCACAATATCACCATGTTTAAGTATTCATAGGCAAAGGGGATGAATTGAAGCTCTCCGTATGTTTAACACTCAGTATCATCCCAACGGTTCACTGGTCAAACTCAATCATGTTACCACATCGTATCATTGGTAACATGGGTCTGTGACCCCTAAACATGGTAAAATGAGAGCTTTGATGCTCTCCGACTTTTGTAAAAATATTACATCAATCACATCGCATGTGACTCAAAGTGTTTGACTATAGTTGGCATAAAGTATTAGGCATTGGACATTGACTGTCTTGGACTCCAGGCCTATCCAATGTGGTTAAAGGGTTGATTCTCTGCTGATGGCATCAGATAGGAGAAGAAACAAGTTCGTGGAGTTCTATCGACTCAAATCTTTTTGTCGACAAGACGCTTTGTTATGAGGCAATGGTAGTTGGCTTCATTGCTTCAGGGTGTCGATGCTTGCGTAACAGGCACATAGCCTGTCATTTAGGTAGAGATGTAACAGCAAACATATCCTTCCAAAGGGCCAAATTGATGGCTTTTCACGCGTTAATATTGCAGTACTAAAGATCATGACATGACTTTAGTTGCACATCTTCTCGACCAGTTAAGGATGGACAAACTTAACATTACTGAATTTTCTGGATTGAGGAAAATTCTATATTTATGTGATAAATCTGAATATAGAATCTCAACAGATTCAAAACATATTTACAAACAAAATCCAACTAACAATAACTTTTATTTTCTTAAGCTTAGCCAGACTTAACCCATATAAATTAATCAATTTCAGATCATTAGCATGCAGTCACAAGGTACTCTTAAATTGTGCAGACCAAGTTATCAAGAGTTTTCTTTTTCTTTTTCTTTTTCCTTTTTTTTTTTTTTTTTCCGTGTCTAATACATACGTAATGGGTACCCCTAAATATTGTCACCAAAATGGTTGTCAGGCAGATGGATATGTTGGTTACCCTTACCAATAACATGAAGCCAGACAAAAATGGTGAATAAAAGAAAGTGAAGTGTTTCCCTTTTACTTTTCCTCTACCACTTTTCTAATTTTTGTCCTCTTAGCAACAATCATTATTTGGCGCTTCTTTTTTAGATATACTCATTTTCAACCACATATTCATCCAATAAAATATTTTGTATATAAATTCAAAAATTTTCCATATTTTTAACCACGAATTCTCCTAAAAATCAATTCAAAACATTATTTTTTCCTAAATATTGACTATCAAACAGGGACTTAATAAATTATTTAAGAGTTTCAATTTTTAGCATTTTCACTTTTCATTGCGTAAGAAGTCCTTTTTATCCATTTTTTTTTGCAATAAAATGATGATTTTACCTCATATTCAAATAAAACAAAAAGAAAATAAATAATTAATTGCAATCATAATCCTAAATTTTTCAAAACATTATTGATAAGTCCTAAATTCTCCACTACCACCACTTTCACAACCCCATCAAGCCGCCACCTATAGAACCACATAGTACCACCTACCGACCATAACACCCGTCAGACTCCACCACCAGCAGCCTCACCTCACTCTCCCCAACATCCTCCTCCACAGTATTGGTCACCATTCTGTCCGAAACAACCACATTTACAACTAAAATACTAAACTGTTGTATACAACCCTTCACGGTAATCCCACTTTCGACACCACCTACGATCGCGCACCACCATCGATGGTTACCCCTTGCCTCGACGAACCTATACATGGTCTCATATCAATCAAAACTGCCTTAAATCATTTTGTTATAATTCTAGAACATGAGGTAGTGGCGACGTCCATTTTGTCAAACTCTTCTCATTCAATTCATGCATCCCACAACACTAAATCCCCAAATTGACATCAATCGAACCATCAACAAATCCAAACAACAATGGGTATGAATCTAATTGAATAAATTATAGGTATGAATCTAATTGAACAAATTATCTCCTCAATTGTTTCAATTTTTGTTCCAAAACTCTCTGTATACGCAATGCACGACAAGAGCTATCTAACCAAAATTGATGGGTCCTAAGTGCTCCAATCTTTCAAATTCATGTGTGGGACAACTATGGGAAAGTGAGGCAAGGTTCGTGGTGGTAGAGTCCGTTGGGCATGGTAACCAAAAGGTGGTGCTATGTGAATCTATAAACGACAACTTGATAAATTGTGAAAGTGGTTGTAGTAAATAATTAATGATTTCTTTGTAATTTTTTAAAAATTTAATGACTATTTTTCCACTTGGTAATTTTTCTTTTTTCTTTTTTCTTTTTTTTTTTTAATATAAGAGTAAAATCGTCATTTTATTGAAAAAATGAATGAAAATGACATTTTGTGCAATGAAAGGTAAAATGACAAAATCACATTGGAGCCTTCAAGCCAGAAACTTTAGAAATCTGATATGCAGTAAAATAGAACATATATTTCTCTCGAAAGTGTAAATAAGCTTTCTTTTCTTATGATCTGAATTCAACCACATGAACAAGAGTAGACAGACCAGAAGAAAGAATAGTTCAATCTAAACAGATTTATTATGCAAAACTACAAATGAAGCCACCCCCAAGACAAAAGAAAAGCTGAAACTGCTCCTCCAAGTGTAGTTATGAACAGTAATTTTGGAGAAAATACTCCAATAGCTACATTTTCGGTGAATTTCTAGCGTGGTGAGTTGAGACTGAACCAAAATCTTAGGCTTCTTAGTGCTTTGAGAACCACCCTTGCGTCAAAGAGGAAAAATCGTAGTCTTTTCCTGTCTGTGGAGAAGCGGATGAAAATGATGATGCCAGTTTGCTCACACCAGAAGTACTACCGTTGCTAGAAGTGTTGGGTCCCGGGGCATGCATGCTGAAACATGAAATGAGATTTTTAAGAAAATGAACATACTATGTAATCTGCATCTTCCTTGCTCAAACAAAAATCTATTTGGAGCAGGAAAAAAGGGTATTGTATTCCCATTTTTATATGAATGAAAGTGGGTAAATATAACTATTAAATAAAGAAAATTCAAGTATTACAAGTGTCCGTACGTTCACAAGCAAGAGTTTAATGAAGTCATCATTTTGGGTCATTAACCACCACGTCCTTTGAATTTAAATATAGTGAGCCGACATTATGTAAATATTCACATCAGCAATACTATTGGACATTTAATGGACTTGTACATTATCAAACTAAAATAACACTCGCAGTATATCAACTTTAAGAGAAATATTAAAAATAAAACCTGTCCTTGAGCAAAAAATAAATCCTATGAATTTGAACGACATCCTGAACCAGAAGGCCGTGCTTATTGAGAGAGTTAAATCATTATGAACTGCTAACATTTCAGATTCATCTGATCTAACCGAGGAAAAAAGAATGGCTAAAACAGTTTGTCAGCTGGCACGGACATTTTAATGGAACTCATGCTGTGTAAGGAGGGCAGTGTTTGCTAGAAAACCAGGCATGTCAACGTTACAAAAGGAAATTTAATTGTTGATCGGACCAAAGACAATGGCAGACAGAATAGAAGCAGCCCACGTGCATCTGTGGTCAAACACACTGCTCATCTCAAGTGCATTATGGCAGGTCACTAACTGAGGTCTGGAACAATGGGGGAAAAAAAACACTGAACAAAAATGTCTAATGTTCTATTTTTCCCTTAATCTTCAGCTCGAGAAAAATATAAATAGCATGAGTGCCACTAACAAAGAATACTTTAAATATACACATGGAAAAAAGTGGTATATGAGAAGGCCAAATCAAAGATTTTTTATCTTCAATATAGAAAATAAATAATCGTACATTCCAGAGTTGCACCAAAATGAGATTTAGATTTCCACGCGCTGGAACACATCAAAATACATACCTGGAAACCGGGACAGGGAAAGAGTTCCCTACTGGATGAGTTGCTGCCATGTTCCCCATCTAGATCAGTAGCAAAAACACCAAAATATGAGCATAAATAAAGTTTCAGATATTTAATGAAGCAGCAAGCAATAACACAATATTCTACCTGCATATATTTCTCTAGCTCGCTCTTTCCAGCAGCTGGCATCATCATTCCAGGGAACTGGTACTCAACATTTGGCCAACTTTGATTGGACAAGTTAGCACCATTGGGCACTTGTGTATTACGATGAAGTTTTGGCATTCCACCAGAAGAATTAGCTGCAGCAGCCATTAGAATAGACTGCTGTTGTGCCAGCATGGCAATTTGTTGTTGGTGTAAAGCAAACGGTGATACCATATTAGACTGCAATGCAAACAATGATATCAACAGATTGGTTTTTGAGCAGAGCTAGAACGTGGAAATACTAGAATGGAATCCAAAAAAATAGTCAACTCCGTTCACAAAAGTTGATTAAACCCAACCTTAGAGATAAAATTAGACTCCAGCCCTTGTAGGCCTTATGAATAATTAACATTCGTAAAACCATTGAAACTCAAAAAACAAAAAAAAACACAAAAACAAAAACAAAAAAAAGTGGAATCTGTATCCATCAACAATTCTTTAGCCTGCAACATACCTTCTCAAACAGACTCATAATATCATTTTTAACATCTTTTTGAGGCTTCTCTGATATGGAAGCAGGAGCAATTGAAGGTGAATCTTTAAATAAATCCTCAATTCCAGAAGCGGAAGCAGAAACAGACTCAGTCTTATTATCATCAGGTTTCTCTGGAGCAGTTTTTTCAGCTGTTAATGATGTGCTGGCAGCTGCAAGTTGTCATGTATAGTTTTCAGCTGAGTCAAGCTTAATCTCCTTATTTACCATCTAGAGAAATTTGAAATCCTCGACCTCTTA